CTTTCATATGACACTGCGCAATCTGCGGCGTAGCCGTTACAATAATATATTTAGCGCATCACATGACTTCCGTAGTATGTTCGTTCTAATTGGTCAATATTAGCCGGGTAATTGATAGGTCCAAGATTTACTATCTCACAATGGTAACCAGCCTCTTCGTTTGATTATTGATATTGATGCAAGGCAAAAGCCTGATTCTACAAATTCTAAAGTGCCTTCCTTAGACGATAAAAAAAATACACGAGAAGATTTGTTATCTTGAGTTTTAGTCGCTTGCGCAAATACATTATATTCCACATTGGGTTGCATGGTATCATTAAATAACTTTGTTTTGGCAAGTTCATCAAATATAAATAAATGCAGCTGGCATATTATTTATCCTCATACTCGATTTATTGATTATCGAGACCTTAAAGGTTTTGTGGAAAAAGTCATTGAATCAGTTGGGGAACCCTATTCCAAATTTATTGATATTGGACTTTACAAATCCCACTTTAATCTTCAGCTTCTTGGATCAGCAAAAGAAGGACATATCAAAAGAGCAGCTATTTCCTCTGTTAAAAATGGATTTCAAAAACTAGAAGATTATTTGGTTCAACCAAAATCAGATTATTCCGTGATCTGGCCACGAACCTTTTCTTCTGAGGAGCCAGTGAAAGAAGAATCCTGACCTATCGACAATGAAAATGCTTTGAATAAAGGTGCTAATTTAGTTATTGAAAAATATGGGTGGCTCCAGATTGGAAGAATTGAGAAGGGATTCATCAACTTTCAAGCAGTTCATTTATTTGATGAAAAAATTAAAATGCGTATTAGGTAAACAATAATTAAAGAATAATTATCCATACATGCAACAAAATTAATCATTAAGCTATATATGTAGATTTGGATATGTTTGTCTTACGGATTTTCCAAAGGAGCCTTTATGGAATTTTGAAAGATTACATAATAAAGTTTTGCTTGATTCTCGCTTAAAGTCCAAGTTTAGCACATGGTAGTTTATTTAATTAATCAAATTTATTATTAGTGTATATATATAATTTTAAACATGTGCATGTGCATTTACTCCTTAGTATTACAGATATCGAGGGGATTAAACAATTCTGTGCTGCTCTAGATGGTAAAGATGATGATGATGATGATGATGCTAAAAATAATCAATGGGATAATTCTCCAATACAAGAGTTTAAGATTTGCGCTACTCGCGCTCCGTTAAAACGTGATGATAAAACTTGGGGTTGTTCATTTGATGTCCAATTTAAAGGTGGTAAAGATGGTAAAATTGGATTATGGAGTGCAGTAACTGATGAAAAAAAAGTAATGGAAATTAATATGATATGTTTGGATAAGTAAGTTTTTGGTTTTTTGTTAATAGGAAGAAGAAATAATAACAATAATAGTAATTTTTATTATTTTGGTTTTTTCATAGTGATTATTCATGGCGTTTAGCTGTTGAAGCTGCTAGACATCTTTCTAATGATAAATTTTCTCCACAAGGAATATTTGTTTATAAATTAAGATTAAGGTAACAATAATAACATTAAAATAATAAATATTTTTTATATCAAATATATTTATATTATAATATATTTATAGTCCTCGTAACCGTTTAATATATACCAACACTGATCATGTACAAGTCACTTCAATTTGTCAAAAAACTAAATGGAAATATTGGTGGGGTGAACATTATGTGGTTGAGGTGACAAGATATGAATATTGGAAATGTAGTAAATTTGCAAATATTTCAGCTGGTGTAGAAATTACTATGGATAAAGAAGAACCAGTTAGTGTTACATATGGAGTTACGGTAATATTTTTTATAAAAAAACTTTTTTTTATTCTTTATTGTCATAATAATGGTAGTTAATTATTAACTTATATGTTTGCAGTTTTATAAAAAATCTTGGGACGATGATTTTGCTTATAATACTGCTTTGGATATTGGAGAGATTCCTGAATGGCATCCTAATGATATAATTTATGATCAAAAAATTGGTGGTATTAAAGGTTTAATCGATGAAATTCGAAATTTCTTGGATCAGTTACAACACAATATTCCAGCACCTCGTACATCTTACTATTAATAATATTTCTGAGATAAGGGTTTTTTGGTTTTCTAAGAAAAAATCATTATATGGGAACCTTTTTTAGCAAAAACGACCTTCTATTAAAATTGTTACACGAAAGGAAAATTTCCCCCTAAAATTTTGATTTATATATATATATACTGTTTTTAAAACTCGGTGATTGTCAAAGTTATTATTATTTATAAAGATTTTGTTTTCAAAGTAAAAAAGCTTTTAATAAGTTTTATAAATCAAATAAAATTTGTTATCAAAAATATTATTAAAAACATGTCTTTAATTAATTCAACACCAGAATAGAATTTGATTATGAAAAAAAAATGATTTAAAATTATTTTTCAAAAGTTCTTGCAAATATATGAAAACAACAAATGATCCACATAATAGCTTTTGAAAAAATAGGTTTCAAAAACTTTTTTGAAAGATTTTGAACAAAAGCTTAGATAAAAAAAAGAAAAAGAAAGTTATATTAAAACACAATTGATGGTTTTTCAATTTGATATTTGTAAACCTGTGTTGTGTTATTAGAGAAAGTGTATTTACAAAAACGTTTGCTAACAAATGGTTTAGAAGATCATCAACATGGTAATATGAAAAATATTTCCAAACTTAAAGTCATAAGCATTTGTTGATTTAGGAAGAATGAAACATTTTATACTAAATTATGCTGAATTACATGGATTGCCATCTCCAATGAGATTTCATGATAATTCAGTCCCATTATTTATATAGAAACTCAGTATAATTATGATTCAGTTTAGGGGGGCATGAAAAATGCTTTGATGATATATCCAAAATATACAATATATAACTTTTTGGAGGCTTTGGGATCAATTAACACCAGATATTAAAATTTTAAATACTTCAAGTGATCTATGTGAGATTTGTAGATTAAATTAAAAACATCAAGTAATGATCCGGACATCTTGTAGCAGCAGATTGTGAAATACAACATTATAATAAAATTATTGAAAAAATGCAAAAATGATTCAGCATTAACTCATATTTGCTATAATTATGCTCAAAGTGTTTCTGCGCCATATTCACCTCAACAAGTTGGTTCAATTTGTTTAAAATTCCTTTTAAAATAAATATTTTTGGTATATGTACTAAAAATAATGAGGGTGAAAAATTATTAACTATAGGAGAAGATGAATTGCCAGAAGGAACATCAAAAGAGCTAACACAACTTAAATATGGTTTTGATTTTCTCTAAAAGATTCACAAAAAAAATTTATGTGACATGCAATAATTACTCAGGTCAAAATAAGAATAACCTATCACTCTGGTTTTGGTCATGGGTAATAATGTTGGGTTGGTATGAAAAAATATATGATCCTTGGGCACACTAAATTTATCTGCAATGGATTTTTGGATCAATCAAAAAAATTTATAGAAACAGATGTATTAGTACTGTTGATCATGTTGAAGAAGCTATAAATGATTCAAACAACAAAACATAATGATGAACCTGTAGATATAAAGGTGGCGTAGGTTGGAGATGGTATGACTTTAGTTCACTATTTAAAAATAGTTTTAGAAAATTACCAAATATAACAAAATACCATCATTTAGAAATGATATTGGAAAAGTTTATGTTGCTAAAATTCAGGAAATTCCTTTTAAACTTCTAAAGAATGATAATTTTAATAAGATGGCTAATTAAATATTCTTGAGGCTGCTTCATTAACAGATGATAGAAAAAGATATTTGTATATAAAAATTTGTCAACATGTAGAAGATCCATTTAACATTATCTTCTTTGATTGTCTATGACAAAAACTCTTAAATAAAATCCTAAAATAAATTTAAAAGAATTGAAATCTATTAAAGGCAAAAATGTTAAAAATGCCCAAATACAAATGAAAGAAAGCAAAGGAAGTACTATTGGAAATAAATATTATTTTACCAGAAATCAAAAGGCCATATAATTCCAATTTTTCTAGTGTAAAACTATTAGATTTTTTTGCATAATGTTTAACATATGTGCCTTTAATGATTCTAAATAATTTGTTTTTGTCACTTTTGATTTTGTCTTCTTTATACCAAGGATCTCCAGCCACTTCAACATCAATTATACATGTCATTTTTTCTTATTATTTTCCTTCAATTCTTGATTACATTGTTCCTTGGATAATTCACGTCCTATGAAAGTTTTCTATCATTAAAAATGTCAGTCTGTTCAAGACTATATGATAAATATAAAAATTTACTGAACCTGCAACCTGAATCCCAACAATTACATAATTTTACCTTATCATTTAGCATCTTTTGTGGGGTGCACAATAATCACAAACACTCAGAATACATAAGTTCATAAACATTTCCCTTACATTGTACTTCAAACATTATATCTGGTCATCTACCTGTTTTGTCCTCACCCTTTCTATTCTTGCTAGCAATGCTTTGGCGTTCATATCTAAAAAAAAATAGCTTTGAGGATATAATCTTTAAACATTGTATTGATAAATCGTACAACTTACGTGCTAATAAATGAGGACTTTCTATAAGAGAGGTTTTTCAATGTTGCACAAATCAATGGTACTATGACATTTGTCACATAGGTACCTTCGTTCAATGAATCAGCAAAACCAGGACCAAAAGCTAGGTTGTTCAAGATATCTTTTACTGTGTAGAGAATTTGCTTTATGACTTCTTTAAGATCTTCCATCAGTTCTTTTCAAGTTCCATCATGTCCATCAAAGCCTGTCACAAATTCCCTACACATTTCTCTAATTAGTGATAAGCTTGGAGGTACCATTTGTCGTGCAGGTTTCAAAAATGTTTTTTTCGCAGGTTCTTTCAGATTATTCACCAAATCTGAACTATCATCAATTATACAGTTGGCTAGTGGAACATTCCATTCAAGGTTAGAAGCTGATATATTTCTTAAACCTAGAGCCAATTGTTGGGCAAGTGATGTTGAATTTATCTAGATGGAACATTAGTAAGATTTGTATTGTGTGATTATTAGTAAAACTAGCACAGCTAAAATATCTAACAATACTTACTGACAGTTTTAACTTCATCTTCTGAAGGTTATTTTCAATCTGTTCCAAGGTGATAGGTTTTTCTTTGTTTACTCTTAATGCTCCAATGTTAAGCAAACTAAAGATTCCTTCATATGCCATCTCAAACTAACAGAAATTTGAGTTAGAACCATTACAACAACAAAAAAAATCCAAATTTTATATAGTTAGCTCATAGTGTTCACAAGTTTAGTGATATATACTATTCCAATTAATATGTGCACGCTGTCAGTATGCCACAGGCAAAGCTAATGCACTCATGGGGCCCACATGTTGACACTAACTTTTGCATGGTTTCGCTTCCACCACACATTAGCAGAACATAGCAACTATACATGCAGCCCAAATTGGTTTGGTGATTTTGATGGTCAAAATTATTCCAAATTTGATGGTAGAAAGTAGAAATTAATTATGGCTTTCACTATTAAAAACATAAGTGTAACACCCCTTTACTACGTGTGTAACCCCCCTTTATGACAGTGTCAAAATACTTTGGGCTGCATGTATAATAGCAACACAGTTTAGCCACCCTCCTTATGTTCCCAGGATTAAATCCTGTACATGGGCTAAATAGGATAACTAATGCTGATATGTTTGCTATTCAGGTGGAATCAAATCTGTGACACTCATCCTTCAGCTTAATGGCTTGGGCCATTTTTAGTTCACATAAAAAAAACTTACTTGGTGAGGTATTTTCAAAAGTTTTTGTTGCTGAGTAGAATTTTGATCATATAGATTCGATACCGATGAAATTGCTTGCCGAACCACCCTCTTTACTTCTTCTTTCAGAATCCATGGTTCTTCCTTTACTGCTTGGTAGATGACAGTGGTGGCAGTTACATGAATGCTAATTAATAGATTACACAAATAAACACATGCATTATTATGATCAGGTGTTGTACATATCGAAATTTTATCTTTACTCAGCCCCATTAAAATGTTGCCTGACATATCCAATTATTTGATCGATTAGATTATCAAATTTGAAAAATTTCTAATTCATCAATATAATTTTAGAAAATGATATGGAAAAGACACTTGACTATTTCATACCGCATCTAAGAAAAAAAAATCAAATATATATATTTATGAACTTCCTATTTTTGCGAAGAAGTAATGGTCAAGGAATTTTATTGGTGATAAGTATATGCATACTTAGAAAAGAATTGCAGAAGATCGTGGAAGTTAGAACATAATGTCTGCAAAGTAATAGGATTTTCATATATTTCAAAGGTATAAAATCAGTAAAATGTTTATGGGAACTTACAGAAAGTTGTGTCATAACTTGAGATTAGGAAATGGACGTCACCGGCGCAGTAAAATTACACAGTAATGAATCATTTACAGAAACGAACCCAAATTTATTATATAGGAATAATATTGTTTTATCAGTTGGAAGCTGGCTCACACCTATTAAGATAAGTGTACATTTTTACGAGATTTGCTATTTATTTTTAAAATTTCAACAATTACATAATCAATATTATCTTGACTTAAGTTTGAAATGATTGATGCGGTAAACATTTTAACAGCTCTTGTTTTTTCTTTACCAATACTAGAAAATAAATCATAAATCTTCCTTGCCCTTTCCTTTCTTTTTTTCAAAGCATCATTGGTAATATCACTGGGGAGCTGTTTTCGAAATTCATCATTAACGAGAGCCAAACACACACATTCCCTATGATTCAAATTTTTGTAATGATCAAGTTGTTTTTTTAAAACTACACCAAAATTGAAGTAACATTCAATAACTTCTCTATTTGCTATTTCACTTTTAGATTCGGCGTGTGTAATTTTGCTATAATGGTATAAAAAATTATTGGTATTTTCACCAACATCTATTATTTTCTTGGAATTTTCTGGTGCAGTAGTTGTCAATTCTTTGATAAGCTTTTTCAATGTAGGAGATTCTTCCTTCTTACTCTGCTTCTTGGCTTTTTTACTGGAGGGCTTATCAGCAGATGTAGGATCCCCAACACGCTTGGATGGTAAGATGCTTGGAGATGATGTATTAGCAATTGTATCGGGATTAGTGGTAGCAGTAGTGACAGTATTGGAGTTGGGATCAGTTGATTGCAAAGCTGAATCATCTTCCTCATCATCTTCTTCCATAATTTCATCCACCGTATCAAGAGAACTAATTCCTAGATTTTTTTCTAGATTGCCAGCTATAGAGGATATTCCACTCGACTCAGAATCATGCCTAGGAAATTCTATTAGGTCAAGTTTTTCATTGCAATTGGGATAAGGACATACATTTGGATAAGCAAGTAAAATCTTTTTTTCGAGACAAAGTCTATGAAACATATGTCCACATTTCAATGTTGTGAAAGATTTGATATGAGGAGACAAAATAATTTTCTTGTCATATTCTGAACAGTTCAACTCTGATAAATCCTTACCACTGACAATGGGATCTTTGAATTCTTTTAAGATATTATATGCAAGGGCTTTAAGGTTAGCAATGGCCATAATACTACGTATGGATTATATCCAATATTTATTTTGTAATAGTAAGTTGAACCACTCATTCTAATAACGCATGTTTTATAATGTAAGTAGTTTCAATGGATCACTCTTTTAAAGATGCAAAACACTACAATCGATAAATTAGTAATTTTGGAGCAATATGTGTCATGAATGGGATTAATTTATTCTCTATGGGTGATCTGTTACCTTTGCCAATCCTAATTATTTGTGTATTTTAACTGATAGGTGAAATCGAAAACTTTGACACTTCTTATATGATGCACAAGCCCTCATTCAATGTTAAAAAAATAGCTTAATCATTTTTATACAACAACAATTCATACCTCTTATTCATTTGTAAAACAGAGAAGATCCAGTGATCGCATAATATTACATGGCATTATTTTTTTTTTTCTTACCAAAATGATCAGTGTTACAAATTGTAACGCACACATGAGCAAAACTTCAGAAGAAAAAACAAGATATGAAATCTCGCAAAATAAATACTAATGATTCAGAACGGAAACAGAGTCTAATTTTTTTCTACTGATATAGAATATGATGTACATATATGACGAACAAAGAAAGTGTAATGGATAATTAGTAATTATACATGTCAATGATTTCTGCTAAAGCATCTGGTTTATTCTTAGGCTTGGGTTTAGTATCACTATCAGAATTTGAATCAGAAGAAGTGTCACCCTCAGCATAATAAGTTCCAGAATCAAAACGGTTGATCTTATGACTCATTGCAATTCTACAAAATAAACTAAGATGTTGGGCCATTGGATTTTGACTACCATGAACTCTAGAAGCATGTTTACTCCCTATTTTTCTCAATCTTTTGGCAGTAATACCATATGGATTTAAAAATTTGCTAAATGCTCTAATATTGCGTTTTCCATTATCACTATATACAGGATCACATAACTTTCTGGTTGCTATTGCATCTTGAATCCAAGTAAGCAATTCTTTTGCGCGTTCTGGATTTTTTTCCATGGAAAGAAATTGTCGGGGCTCAGGATTAACCTCCTTTTCTCCCTTATTTTTAATAAATCCTGTACAATACCAAGAATAACCAGGCTTGTACCATTTCGGAGGGTCTGGTTCATCAGGTTCACAATGGATAATACGTAGAGTAGTAACTTCAGCGGGTCTCATGCTCAACATCATAATCACATCCGCAAGATCCTGCATAGTGGGAGTTTTAGTAGTATCAATATTTTGAATTCTTCTAAGTCACTCCCCTAAGGAGAAGTGTTTAGGGATTTTAGGAGCATTGGGTAATCGCTGTACAAGTTGCTTCTTCTGAATTTTGTTAGAATCTTGAGTAAGTGCTGGAAATTTAGCATATATATCAATTACTTTAGAATCAACTCCAGCTTCTTTCAATTCCTTACGAAATAATGTAAGATGTGAGCTGGATGTGACAATTTCTTCATCACTATCATTTTTTGTCTTGATTAAATCTAAAGCATGTAACCAAATATCCCACACATCTTCAGTTTTTGCACAATATTGAGCTCTTTCCTTGATAGTAAGTTTTCCCCCCTTTTGTCTGGTACAAGAGCTTCTATTTGATTGTCTTTGAATAGGCGCTGGTGAAGAGCTTCTTTCACATCTTTACAAGCCTTCCAATCTGGTAGCATAGTACCAAGCTCATCGGCATGAGCACATAATTGAAGTGGGTTTGATTCAGCCAATAGGTTATATTTATTGAGGATCTGATCCAAAATGGAGGTAAAGCTATTAGTTTTGGGGTTTCTAGTTTTTTGGAGAGTTGCCATGATAGATATATATCAATAAGTAGATTGTGATTGTACATTAACCTACTTATTTTTTCAAATTGAAAATTAATTATCTCGGGTCAGAATATCTAATATTTACCCAAAATTGAATGGGTCGCAGTTATTGTAATTCTGTTAGAAAATGGACATGAACAAGACACAAATTCGATCAAAAGTCTTGGAATCCATAGCTTTATAAAGAGGTCTTGGAAAAATAATTAATATATGCCAAGCGCATGATTATACTTCATGTCTAGAATCAGACAAGTCAGGTATATGATTCTCAAGCATAACAATTTTTGCATGTAATTCAGCCTGCTTTTTTTGATGATAATATTCTCTTTTTCGATACTTACTCACATGATTCCAGCATGCACCATATGTAGAATATGTTAGCTTACCACATTCCCGCCTTCTCGCATATATGCTTGAAGCCAGAGAAAAAATGGCCTATAGTAAGGTGAGTTATTCCTTATATATCAAGATATTTCCCCCTAATTTTATAACTGTCTATTCATACCCAGAATTAGATAAGTCAGGTAGATTCTCAAACATAGTAATTTTTGCACGTAATTCATCCTGTTTTTTTTCTGTGATAATTCTCTCTACTTTGATATTTGCCTACATGTTTTAGCATGCATTATGTATAGAACTATTTAGCTCACCACAATCTCTACAAGGAGATTTACAATGAATATAGCATCCTTTAGGATGATAACATCCTTGACCACAGATTTTTCCAGTTCTGTGAATATATTGGCAATGATAGAATGCCATTGGGTTTTATTGTTTTTGTATATAATAATTACTTCAATCAAATTTATATTATTTGGGCGAACTTGTTCGCTGAAATTTTTGGAATAATTAATTTTATTTTAAAGATTTATCTATTAATTATTATAGTTTCAAAATAATAATACATATATTACTACATATACTTTTTGTCAGATCAAACAACGCATATATACAAATCAATAAAATGAGTTTGTCTAGTGAAGCAAAAAAACATTTGTGGGAATCGTTACAACAACAGTGCCTAAATCAAAAATCCGTTGAATATAATGAGGCAAAAAAGCTTTTTACAGGTTTAACAGATCTTGATTATAAAGCTGGTCATAAAGAACATACATTTTATAAATACTGGCTCACATCTAATGGCCATGCCAGCTCTTCTGATAAAAATGAAACAGCACTTTTAGAGGCATACCAACCCAAAGAGATCCATTCTCAATATACAATTCGGATGGCAGGAAAAGGTTATACAGTGATTGATCATCCTAGAGAAGTTTATAGAATACCTGATACTCACGAATGTATTGATGGTAACCAGCCTCTTCGTTTGATTATTGATATTGATGCAAGGCAAAAGCCTGATTCTACAAATTCTAAAGTGCCTTCCTTAGACGATAAAAAAAATACACGAGAAGATTTGTTATCTTGAGTTTTAGTCGCTTGCGCAAATACATTATATTCCACATTGGGTTGCATGGTATCATTAAATAACTTTGTTTTGGCAAGTTCATCAAATATAAATAAATGCAGCTGGCATATTATTTATCCTCATACTCGATTTATTGATTATCGAGACCTTAAAGGTTTTGTGGAAAAAGTCATTGAATCAGTTGGGGAACCCTATTCCAAATTTATTGATATTGGACTTTACAAATCCCACTTTAATCTTCAGCTTCTTGGATCAGCAAAAGAAGGACATATCAAAAGAGCAGCTATTTCCTCTGTTAAAAATGGATTTCAAAAACTAGAAGATTATTTGGTTCAACCAAAATCAGATTATTCCGTGATCTGGCCACGAACCTTTTCTTCTGAGGAGCCAGTGAAAGAAGAATCCTGACCTATCGACAATGAAAATGCTTTGAATAAAGGTGCTAATTTAGTTATTGAAAAATATGGGTGGCTCCAGATTGGAAGAATTGAGAAGGGATTCATCAACTTTCAAGCATGATCTGTTAAAGAATGCCCTATATGTGACATTAAACATGATAAGGATCAACTCTATGGATTTATTTGAAAAAAATGGGCATTTTATACTCAAGTGCTATTGGCAAAAACAATATAAACTGGGCTTAGTTTTGATAAGGTATCAGATAAAGTTGAATCAAAAGTAAAGCCTAAGTGGGGATTAATTGAAAGATTACCAAATGCTGTAAAACATCCATGCGCACTTGTAGAATTATCTGGAAAAAATATCAATGCCAGGGAAAATGGAAAATGCTCCAGAAGCTTATCCTGATTTCTTGAGTGAGGAACCCATTACATCTCTTATCCGATCACCTGTATTGACAGGAAAAATAAAAGCTTTAAGAATTATTCTCAATTCCTTAGCCAAAGAAGGGAGCAGACTGCTGTGTTTTGTTTGGGTTTCATATTGTAAGACTCTCAGTAATGAGACTAAAGCTAAAGTTGATATACTACAAAATGCAGGATTGTGTGTATGTAATTATCAAGAAGTTGAAGGAGATTTAGCCATATGTAATTGGGATGTTATTATTGTTCAGGCTGAGAGTACACACCGTCTTTCCCTTTTTGGAGGTCATTCTTATGTAGTTATTTTAGATGAAGTAAATGCTATTATGCATCAAATTAATAGTGGAGTTCATGCCCGAGAATCAGAAAATGCTATGCGAGATTTGTTGAAGTCAGCTGTTCATGTTCTAGCCATGGGTGCTTTTGGAAATGAATCAACTTTAAACTTCTTAAGACAATATCAAGGTGAAGATATACAAGTTTTTGATAATAAGTATCAGCCACATAAAGGTAAGTCTGTAAAAATTCTTTATGATCCAGACAAAGGAGCAGAGG